ATTTCAGAGTCCCAAGAAGTACTACACTTCTATAAAGAAGGAAGCTCAGGCAATCATTGAAGCTGTTTGTCATTGGCAACATTATTTGGACTGGAAGACATTTCACCATGAAAACTCACCGGCGATCTGTTAGGTACATGTTTAATAGAAGGCACAAAAGTAAAGTAAAAAATGACAAAATATTGTGCTGGAGCATTATATGGAGAACGATTATCATGGCTTTGAGATCATGTGGTCTGCCTGCACAACATTGGCAAACAGTCTTGGTCAACACTTTACATTCAATTCACTCATTACTCTGCACAGTGACTAATACAACACCACATGAGAGGCTGTTTAGTTACCCCCACTGTTCTTCCACCACAGATACTGTTATGCAACCCTGGACCTGTTCTCCTAAAATGACATGTTTGAGTGAACAAGACTGACTGTTGGTTGAAGAGGTGAAGCTTATCAAAGAAAATCCACACTACATCTACATTTTCTACAAAAAATGGCAAAGAAACAACAGTAGCTAATAAACATCTATGCCCAGTTGAGTCCCCTGTTGATAGGGAATCCCAGGAGATGGTCAATGGAAATAACTACCCGGTCCTGCCTTAAGAAAATATTGAAGCTACCCCAACTGAAACTGATAATACTACCCAGAGTACCCACCCCAAGCTCCCCTGACATTGCTGAGAAAGCAATAGTGCCCAGGAGACTGGAGCTGATACATCGTCCACCAACCTGTTTGGACTTGTAAAAATAGCAGTAATTTAAGGAGGAGGAGAATGTGATGTTTCAATAAATAAATGTTGTAAATAATGGGTATAGTTCATTCCCCTCTGCCACTGCAGTCTGGAGTTGACTATTCCTATCCTGAGTTTTATTTATAGATAGCAGTTTTTGTTATTTTTTGTCAAGTATGTAGCTAATATTTTGCTAGAATAAAGCCTTAAATTAAGGCCTTTTTTATTTTCACTTTTAAAAGGTAGGGACTCTCATATACATTTAAAAAGATTGTTTGGGTCATGATCTTTATCAATAAAGTATTTAGGAGGGACATATAGTGATTTTAAAGCATAGCTCAGATGTGGCACAAGGCCGAAAGTATGGGGCACCCAGTGAGGATCGAACTCACTACTAAGTTGCAATTGTTCTAGTGAGACAAGCTTGATAACCATTACACCACTTCGAGATGCCCATAGGAGGGACATATATTATTTTGGTCAGCAAAGCACAACTATACTAATTACTTCTGTCGATAAAATTGCCGAGTTTTAACTGTTAATTATTGTAATGGTTAGGTCATTAGACTTTTGAAATTGAGGTTCTAAAACATAAGCATAAAAGTTTGTTAAATCGTAACTTTTGAATCTACAAATTTAGTATCAAGTTGCCAGTATTTGCATTATAAATATGGTTTTCTAAATAAATTGATAAAAATCTCACCACTTCACCAATGTAATTAAATATGTGGTATTTTAGCCAATTTACAAAATAAGCTTTCTTTTATTAAGCTGCTATAAAATGATACATATGAGATTCACCATTTTACACCAATGAAGAGTAAAAAAATAAGATTTAGAGAAGATTGATTTTTTTTTCTAGTTTGGCATTGCAAGTGAAGATTTAGGTCATTTCACATTTACTACAAAGCTACCGATGAGTATATGGAACGGTCAAGTTTTGCTGCTGGTTAAAGGTCTGGCAACTACTGTTTTAAATTGAAGTTCTGTTTTTTTGTTCTATTATAATAGTAAATGAGGTAAAAAAATCAAAGTTGGGCTGAAAACAAGGGTATCAATGATTGCAACAAACAGATGTCACTGCTCAATGATGCTTATACAAAACAATAAACTGAAGAAGTGACAGTGAGGGAGGGACAGGGATATGCATATTCTAATGTATAGACCTATGCAATAACACATGAAAAAATTCTAGAAATTATGATTTAGAGTTACACTACCATGCATCTATGTGGAATAATTGTGCATTGTCTGATTTTGAAGAAAATTATCTAACTTGACAAATAATAGAAAAAAAATGATAAAATTAAGTTTTATACATGTTTCATAACCTTTTTTACTCGGATGTCAAATTTTCACAATGTAAATTATAAATATCTATATTTAGAACAAATTTTAGTTAGATGGTAAAATTCTTCTTATATGCTAAATTATAAATAGTTTTGTTAAAAATTGTAATGAGATAGAACAGACCCATCACTAGGGTGGTTTTAGCAAGAGAGCAGCCTTTGAGTTAGAGGGTGGGTAGTAAGAATTGGCACATTAAAATTTGTTCATGACATTTTCACCAGAGGGGAATCCTGATATGGTGTGTGTGTGTGTGTGGGGTCTTTTCTTTTTTTTTTTTTTACTAATAAATTAAAATTACATTTAATTACATTTGCTCTCTCACTTCACAGAAAAACGTATTACTACTAATAGCATTGAATATATCTGGCTACATTTTCATATATACAAACATTACTGAACAGACATTTTTGTTAACACCAAAACCAACTATTAAGTTATAAGTGAAAGATTTTTTTAAAAATTGCAAAAAGTTTTTAAAATCTGAGTAATTATTTTAAAAATATTTTAAGCTTGTTATAAATTTATTTATTTATTTTTTTTTAATGAATCAAGAGTTGTTAACATGGCCTGCAATTATGCCTCAAAAAGACAAGCATTTGGACATCTTTTGAAAGACCTGCCTCTGCACGTTAAGACTTTAGCAAACTTGGAGGTAAGTAGAATTTCAACTTTTTTTTTTTTTTACAAGGGTTCAACCAATACAAGGCCCAAGAGCAACTCAAGGTAGAATGAGGTGCATGATATGAATGTAAGAGGAGAAAGTGAAGATTATGAGGATATGGAGGATATCTATCAATGACCCTAAATTTGAAAAGGTTAAGATTGTAGTGTACAAGGGAGCATGCATGCAGGAGTCTGTTCCATAAAATAGTGCTTCTTGGGAAGATGCTTTCTGAGTCGGGAATGAGGAGGGTCAACAAATGTGGATGTAGCAAGGTGGGTCTTGGCTGCAAAGATCTGAGCTGGTGGCATTGAATAATGGAGCTTGTCTGAACATTTGTGATAGTATCAATGGGCTTGCGACATTGTGTCTGTGGGGTAAGTGTTTATAAATGTAATGAGATTAGCAAAATCAAATCTGTCTCTTGTTTGTTAATCAAAAATTGATTACCTATAAATGTGTTCTTTTTTTTTTCTTTGCATTAGTACATATAAAATTTTCTTTTTTATTTAAGATGGAGACTAGAGGAGCATGCATTCTGGTGCTGTGCATAAGTCGCTTGCTTGGACTCCAAGAAGTTGGAAAGTCGGCAAGACAAGATGATGACCTCTTGCGAATTTTAACACCTGTTGCCAAGCTTTACACAGGAAAACAGGTCAGATGATCTAACATTCAATTTTTGTTTTTAAATACAGCCTACATAACAAAATATATCGTCATCATTTCTTGATACTTGATAAAACATTCAGTAAACTTGGACCTTCATGAGTGTAAAAAAAATGGAATGTGAAAAAGAAGATATTTCCCTTGACACTGCTATTGTTTTATCTGCCTTCATTCATTCCTCAACAATGCTTATTCTTTTAAAAAGTGATGATTAGTATTGTAATAAAACCTAAACAGATGATGACAGTCAATTTATAGTTTTTTTTTGTTCTTGAGAATTTATGACAAAAATGTATTTATTTATTGGTTTATTTACAAGAATAATTTTATATTTACATTCTAAAACCAAATGCATTAAAACTAATGCAATGTCATATTTATCATTTACCAATTTATAAAGAAATATGAAAACAATTTTTATTCATAAATTTATAAACAGTTACTAAATTATTAAAATATGTCAACCAACTATAAGGAAATCCTTATTACTTACCATTTTATAAAATCAATTGACAATTAGCTGATGCTTTGTCAACCATATTACAATAAACAACATAAATAGTGTAAATAAATAATCAAATAATGTTTATTGTTTTTGTTGTCAATTCTCAAGAACTAAGAAAATGTATAAATTAACTTTCATATGTTTAGGCTTTATTACAATTCTAATCATCACTTTTTGAAACAATAAACATTGCCAAGGAGTGAAGGTAGTTAAAATAATAGCAGTGTCAAAGGAAAAAACTTTTCTTTTCTCTTTTTTTTTTATGAGCATGAAGGTCCAATTTTGCCAAATATTCAACTAAATCTCAGTATTTTTTTTAAACAAAGACAAATTCTGAAGATATTGGTTTGCAAAATCTGTAGTTTACAAGATCTTCCCTCTTAGCATACTGCCATCAATGCTGACTGGTACAAAACAGGAACTTATAAAACTTTCTTGACTTTAAGTGTCAAGAGATCTTTATAAGCTCCTGTTTTGTACATTGGCAATTGTTTTGCATGACCACATCTTAACACAGACCTCACCTGGGTTGCTTGTCTTGCCTGCCAGATGGTACATGAAATATGGAGCATTTTGATTGACCACAGGTAAGCTGTCATTTTCTTCACAATACTCTCTGATCACATGATCACAAATATGGTAACTTGATGTGGGTCTTTTGAGTCTGGTGCTTTATTAAAGTGGGATGGTCATCACCTTTTCTTCAGATGAATCACTACTTGGGGAATTACCATGTGTAATTTTACCAGGTACTGAAGTGTTTGCATCTGAGAAACCATTGGATGTGCTGAATCTAATCACCCTTGCACTTTCAGCGGATTCATTCAATATACTCCTTGTGTCACCCACCAATGTGCTTGACCCCATAATGGGGGTGGGGAATGATTTTTCAGCATTCCATTGATCAGAATTGTGTGAGGGTTTCTGCTTATGAATAGCACCATGTTGAGCTCAAATCCCATTTGCGTCTTGTACCTTGAATTTATTCTGCTCCACAGCCATCAATAGGATTAGGCACCTAGTGGAGCCCACATTCTCTTTCATAATAAAGTCACAGCTCTGTTATCTAGTCGACTTATGACCATATATTAAAACACCAGTTCTTATACAATCACTGAAGTTAAGCAACACCGAGCTTGATTAATACCTAGATGGGTGACAGCTTGGGAATAACAGGTGTTGTAAGCTTGGATGTGGAGGTGTTTTAATGGATAATGGCTTAGAATTGGTAATTGGAGAGTTGAATTCCAATTAGGTTAGTTATATTCACTTGTGTGCAAATACCCTGGGAATGGCATGAATCCACCTCTTCTTCACCTCTATGGGTTAATTAGTAGGACCTGTATCTGAAAAACATTATGATCTCAAAAAAAAATTCTTACTATCTAAAAATGCTTTCTAGCTTTAAATAACCTACAAAAGTTTGATAAGATCTAGAAAATCAATCAATCAATGTTATTCAGGCACCATGTTCCACAGTTTCTCTGGTGATTGGCCATTAGACCATTTTCATGTCTTGGTGGGACTCTGCACTAAAATCGGGCTTATCTATCTTGGTGCTGCACAAATTGGCAACTTGCATCTTGTAAGAAAGAGTGTTATCTGATTTGGTTATGTGGACTCCACCCAACTCTTTAATGATGTCCATTCCTAGGAACAAGTTCAATCCCAATAATTTGCTTTTCACAACCAAGACTTTGACATTGACAGTGTTCATGGTGTCCATACTCCCAACTTTTGAGAACATTTCTGCCTGCTGTTAATATGTTCATCTCCTGTTTGCTCCAAAAACAGCAACCTGATCTAACCAGAAGTGATAAGGAAAAACCTAAATCCAACAAGGCTGAATATTTTTTCTCATGCACATATATTATATCACAAGAAAAATGTGGGGAAAATTGTGAAAATGGCCTACCAACGGGGCAGCTGGCGAGATGCTGGTTAGGTGATGGCTGGGCATTATGCGATCACTGGTGGAAGAATATGGATTGACCATAGATGTGACACTCATACAGTCCTGTCAGAACCGTGCGGATCGCCTCACCAGAGTACCGTGCAGGTGGCTAGATCTGCTCAAGAGAGGAGAACCGGCACTCGAGAGCTGTGCAGTGGTAGGGAGACGACTGGACAAGGACCAGGTGGCCAATACCCATCGTCAAAGTGGACATCTGGGCGTGAAACGAACTCTGTACTTCGCCAGGTTAGTCAACCCACAAGTGTCCAGAGAAAGCGTTAAATCCATTGTGAAGGCCTGCACAACCTGTCAGTTGATCTATCCAGCACCTGTTCACTGGGAATGAGGAGAACTGAGTGTGAAGAGCAACTGGAGCAGACTAGCGATGGACATAACTCACTACAATGGTGAGAATTTTCTAATGCTTATTGATTGTGGTCTCTCTAGGTTTGCGGTATGGCGGCCGCTGCACCGACAAGATGCGAGCACCATCATTCGACTGTTGGAGAATGTTTTCCTGGAGTGAAGCCCACCCATGGAAATACTGACTGACAACGATACTGCATTCACCAGTAAAGACTTTAAAAAATTTGTGGACAATTGGGACGTGCATCTGCGGTTTCAATGTGCCTACTTCCTGAGTGGAAATGGGATCGTAGAGCGAAACCACAGAACCGTCAAGACCATCGCAGCCAAGAAGGGCTGTACAGTATCGGAGGCGGTTTACTGGTATAATGTCGCCCCGAAGGATAACATTTCACCGTTCACAGCCCCAACTGATGCACTGCACAAATATCATGTCCGAGTGAAAGGCATTGAAGCCAACCCGCTGCCTGAACTAGAAGTGACCGGAGGGAGATTGAAAAAAGGAGATGTTGTTTGGGTCAAAAACCCACGCAGCAAGTGTATGACAAAATACAGCACTGGATGTGTTATAGAGGTGATTAGCCTGCAATCTGTGAGAGTTGATGGGGTGCCTTATCACATTAAAGACTTGCAACCGGTGATGCAACCGCTACCATTACTGAGCGATGAAAGCGATTCCAAGTCTGAGAGTAGCGAGCAGTCAATCTGCTTGGAGTTAGACCTGCAGGGCAGTGATTCCGATATCAGCAGCCTCCTTGTGGACACAGTGTTTACCAACACTCAAACCACAGATGAGAGCACGCATGAGGATGAAGCTTGTGTTGTCCCCCTTCGGAGGGGGACTCAATGGCGACAATCACCACCTCCTTGCCCTGTTTGTGATCATGAGATCAGGGGGGAGTGTGGGGAAAATTGTGAAAATGGCCTACCTCGCAAACGCCTGTGAATCTGTGCGACGTGCAAACTCCAGTTGCTCAACGGTAAAAAGAACCAAAATGGCGGCGCCCATGTTTTATGCCAGGCGGTCTCAGACAGTTAACACGAAATCTCGTTGTCTCGTCATTCGCATGCAAATCGTGGTCACTCCTCGGCTGTATAACGCAGGTGCGTTTTTGTTTCTGAGTACTGGGTTTTTTGCTCGTGAGAAGGTTGGAAGTGTGACACTGTTTTGTCGGTTACCCTCCTCACGTTTTTCTTATCTGCTACTATCAGTTGAGTCGTTGCTTTACCACCATATCTGCCTGCTGTTAATACGTTCATCTCCTGTTTGCTCCAAAAACGGCAACTTGATCTAACCAGAAGTGACAAGGAAAAACCTAAATCCAACAAGGCTGGATATTTTTTCTCATGCACATATACTATATCACAAGAAGTACCTACTTTATATCTTTTGTTGGAAGGAGACCGGTACCAAAGTCTTGTCCCCCAACTTGTTTCCCTGATATTCCAAGGCAATGTGATCCAAAAGCCACATACTTGTGTGTGCATCCCTTCATATCCATCCCAGCAAACTTTAAAAGGCTATTGAGTTCAGAGCATCTAGAATGGCTGATGTTGGTATGACATTCAATGCTGGGTACATTGGTTTCAATTGGACATATAGCTACTGTATCTGTTTCCTCAGTCTCCATTTTCAGAAATTTGTATTCACTTTTTGCCTTTATGCATTTGTTATCATCTAGTGACTATGTTTTTGTGGAAACCCTGACAAACTCTGATTGTGGAGATGTTAGGGCCAACCATAGAATAGCAAAATATATAATTAAATGGGAGTTAAGTCCTTTAGGGATTTTGGAATCTCCACAATCAAAAAGTTTGTCTTTTGATCAGAAAGGTCATGGCTCTGTTATCTAATCGGCTTATGACCATATGTTAAAACACCAGTTCTCGTACAATCACGGAAGTTAAACAACATTTTTATTTTCTCTCTGTTGAAGGCAGTTGATGTTGTATCTGAAGGTTTGGAATGCTTTGGAGGCCAGGGCTACATTGAAGATACAGGCTTACCTCAACTTCTCAGAGATGCACAAGTAATTCATTTTTCTTTTTAAAAATTATTTCTTTTAAATTAGTTAATTAAAGAGAGATACTTATAAGTAATTTTATGTAGTTGTTTTTTTTGTTTTCTTGCAGACTCCTCATTGCCATTATGTGGTAGAATTCTTTTAATCTACACAAGAGTTAAAAGTTCATTTGAGTTGTAAACTGAGAAGAAATAGTAGCAAATACAAAGTGTATCCATTTAATATTACAAATAGCTTACTTAAAGCAATGACACATTAGTCTGTTTCAAAGTATTTCCCTTGGAACTTAACACACTTATCCCATTGTCCATTTTACTCTTTCTGCATTGCCATTAGTTGCCTCATCTTTTCCTTAATCTCATCCCTGGTGTTTCAACAGTAATTTTTGTTTTGTTGACAAACCTGGACTGTGAAATTAGAAAAAAAATCTTGCCTGTGATATGAAGAATCTACACTGAATGAATGTGACAATCATAAAATACACAAGTTTGCTCAGTGGAATCTCATTGCCAACTGAGTAACCCTATAGGAGAGTGTTTATTAATTTATATATAGTAACATCCTGATTTTTTTATATTGTTATTCAGCCAATACAAGGCCCAAGAGCCACTCAAAGTAGAATGTTACTGAGTAAGGTTGTTGAAAGTAGATAATGATTAAAATATTCAGCTAACAAACAAAATCTAACAAAAATAGAAAAGTTTTTTAAAATGAAATAATTGATCAGTTTGAATTTTTTGTAAAAGAAAGAATAAAGCAAATGGAAGGACTACAGTAATTTTTTTTTACTGTTCTTCACCTAATACAACACCCAAGAGCCACTCAAGCTTATTTAGTGACATTGTAGATAACAGTTGGCCCAAGACTTGAAGACATTAAGATTGTAATGATGGAAGCATCCTCTCAGGACATTGTTCTACAAAGTAGTGGTTCTTGGAAAGAAGCTGTCTAAAGAGAACTTCCTTTGTACTCATGGAATATAAAGGGAATGAGGATGATTCAACCCTGTATATGTGGCATGACAAGTCTTAACTTTGAATGTTTGAACTGGTGGAACTAAGGATCTAGCATGTTTGAATATTTGCCATGAAAATAGCGATAGAGTAGCAGGAATCTTGAAATGTTGTGTCTGTGGGAAAGGGGTTGCAAGGTGGAAAATAATTCATCACCCACAAGGCCAAATAGATGCTTCTGAACTCTGTCATGGTTGGAAAGTGAGAATTGAGCAGCTCTAACCTAAATATGGCAGCAATATTCCATTCTTGGTTTGATCTGACTTTTGTTAGGAGTCAGTATACTTCTGCTGCACTACAAGGAACCAACCATTTTTCCAGCCACTAGTAATGGATCATATATACAAGTTCCACTTGAGGGGTCCCAAGGGACATTCAAAGCAAGAAGCCTCATTGAGACTACAATCATTCAGCCTGCTTCGTGACCAACTTAGTTACCAAATTACATCAAGAACACACAACCTGTTGTTGAGATTTTCAAACTGGCTGGATAGATTCTGGATAGACCTTTATATACTAATTAGTCCAATCTACTTTTGTTGCAACTTGTCATACAGGTGATTATAAATTTTAAAATATGCAGAGTTGCTCTCTGTTGCCCTGTTAGTTATAATTGTCTAATGTCTGATAGGTTTTCTTCTTAACTCCTTCCATCTAGAAGTTTGTTTATCCTCCAAATTTTTCTATGAATGAAATGAAAAATGACCTTTTTAAATTTTTTTTTTTTTTTCTAATATATTGAAAGGTTAAAAATAGGCATTTTAAGATATTTCAACATCTCTGCAGACCATTACTTCAATACTTAATGTATATCCCACAATTGTAATGCTGTATCAAACAAAGTCAAGTTAGTGTTCACTTAATATAAATCCTGTTGCAGGCACTACTTCTAGTTAGACTAAAAGCAATGACAACAATATTTTACATACACAAATAACAAATGTAAGGAAATGAATGAATTTAAACAAAGTGATATTTTATATTTTTGTTTTATATAACTGAGAATAGAAAGAAAATACACAAGTATACATGTAAAAGAAGGAAGATACACATTATAAGTTAAGAATTGTGTGGGTGATACATACATGTGTGTGTCTGTGTGTGCATGTCTGAAAAAGTTCATTAAACTAAAGAAAAAGATACCACCATGCCCAAGGAGATCCTGGTTGGTATTGTCACTTCTACTAAATGCTAAAAGGAAAAAAAGAGACAAGAGGGTGATGAGAGGAAGTGTCCTATTTTATAGGTGCTTAGCAGTGCCTTTTAATGACATCTTGTTAAACTGTTGCAGCTCTTTGGGGATAACCCACAAGTCTTGATTTTTTAATATTTATTCTTAAATTACAAGAAACATGATTTTGAATTAAATACATTATCAGTTATATCACCGCTTTTATATACTATTATCTATTATAATTATTTTTCTGTATTGTTATTCAATAACTCATTGTTATTTAAATTACAAATCAGAATTGTTCGTTGCCATTGTTCTTATGTTTACTTTCAAAACAAAATCAGTTGAATTATCAGTGAAGAGAAAAACAAAAAGCAAAGAAAAACATTTTGAAAATCTCACATCACATATTCCCAAACAAAATGCAATGTATCTGTAATATTGCAAAAATATTCCATGTTAACTGGGAAATGGTGATGAAAACTGAAAACAATGTTTGTTTTGGAGCAACTGATGATCTATCTCTTGAAGAATTTTTTTGTTCTGAGTTTTCTTACTTATTTTTATTTTGAAACACTAGCCAATACAGTAAGAAATGGTAATAAAGGCCATGAAAACAATAATTGTCTTGAATTGGGTGGCAAGATATTTTATAGATAACACACAAAAATGTCCTAAATAATTGAAGAAATACATCAAAACTCTCATTCTGATGAATAGACCTCAAATTTTGGTAACAGGTGGGGAGAAAATAAATCAGTAATTACAGCAATATCTCATACTACAATTTGAAACAAACAAGATTTTTACTTTTCTTAACACTAACTTCATTGCTACTCCACTGTTCTCTTGCTTAACTTTAGTCTCTCTTTTCTTTTTTTTTCTTTTTTTACACTAACAAACTAAATATGTCTGGTAGTCATCATCATTTCTGTGCCATTTCCCTTCATGGCTCTCCACAACTTCTTGTCCTTTGTAGCTCTAAGCAACATCTAACTCTTTACCCCCAACCACTGCTCTGCCATTCGTTCAAACAAAAGTAAAATACTATCTCTTCTTCTATCGGTATGTCTTGTGAGTATGAAGTTTTCCAAGCTGTTCCTCCTCATAATGTCTCAGAAATTTCAAATATCTCTCATTATCATTAAATATATGATCTACTGATGAATATGTCTTTCTAGTTCCCATTTTCTTTAGAACTTTTATTTGCTCATGTGTTCTGTCCATGGTACTCTCAGCATCCATGTGAAAGTTTCCAGCATTCATAGCCATACAGGAAAATAAATATAACATAGCCGTTCAGCACTCTATTCTTAGTTTCTATCATGATATTCCTCTGTCTTAATACTTTACTTAATTTCTGGAATGTTTCTTTTGCTATTCTGATTTCTGGCAGTAAAGGGGAGAACATTTATGATGAAGCTATTACTTAGCAATTTCTTATCAGGAAATAGATGAGTTGATTATCATAATTTAATAAAATCATTACTGACAAAATATGGCTATTATATGTATAATTCACTTGTTTTAAAAAAAAATCATTTCACCCCTAGTAAAGTAATAAAGACACTAATACTCAAGTTACTGAGTGTGAAAGAATATTAGAAAAAAAGGTGGGAAAACAACAAAAGAACAGGAATTAAGACTGAAGATAATAATTGATATTGCATTTATATTTTTGAAGATCAAAATTGACTGCAAAGCAAGAATCTGAAAGAGAGTTCTACAAGTGAGAAGTGCAAGAGAAGAAATTGTTAGCATAATATGACACTGGTAAAAGAAAAGGTTTAATTTAGAATATAAACTGGAACAGATGAAAAGAGTTTGGAATAACATGTAAACTGAAAGAAGGGGGAAGGGGCAGATCTGGGGAGAATGACTTTATTGGTTTTGGGAAAGGATGTCAGAGGCCAAGTGAAATGTCTCAAAGCAAAAGTGCATTTTGAGGTTAGTTAAGGACAAAGGCACAAATCAGTTTCTCAATTCTGCCTGTCTGTCAGAAAGTGGAAATGGGCCTTGCCAATTTTGGAAATGTAAACAAGTCAAGCAAATAGGATTTTATCCTGTGTTGAAGGAATCGAGATAAACGTACCTGTAAGGTTCATGAATACTATTAAGTGAACAGATATGAAGACTGGTGTTGCTGATGGTTGGTCAGTGGAAATAGTCGGCAATTGTCTTTTTACATAAACAAGACCAGTTGGTGAAAAAAAGATAATAACAAAGTTAAGACTATCTTTGAAAGTTGGAATTCTCAAAAGAGACCACCAAGGTGATGGGATTAGATGAGACACCAAGAGAGAGAGAGATTATCTCCACCCATTTAGAAATAATGGTGTGAGGCATAAATAAGAGAAGGAATGAGTTATATGGATAGGCCAATACTTGCAGCCACTACCCATAAGGAGAATGGTTCACCCAAATTTGGAGAGATAATGAATATTATGAACCAGACAACAAAGAACTCTCATTCAAATTGATACAGAAACTTGAGGAACCCCCAAACACTGTCAACGCACTCTGGTTTTGAGTCAGTCAATATAAACAGAAGTAGTCAAAGACAGGGAGATGAAGATGATGGCAGATGAAGGTGCTGCTGAAACCCACATGACTTACTACCAAGAGAATTCCCAACTTTGAGACCTGTTCTGAGAATTTTCACTGATAAGCAAAGCGTCACTAAAGAGGTTTTAGTGGGAAGGGTTAATTTTTGTCATACCAAGAACTACAGAAACCAAATCAAAAACTGACCAGAAGAATTTTTTGTTTTTATTTCATCTGCAAAGACATTTCTATTTTTTTCCCGTCATAGCACAGCTCACTGTGGTCTTAATCACTACAATTACTGATGTTAATTGATCCCTGCCAGCTCTGTGATCAAGAAACAACATGGGCGGAGCAAGGTGTAGACTGAAGTGGACAGCAACCAACAGCTGTTGACCCACAACAGTATCAAACAGTGTGGGATTAATCCTGAAATCAACTTGTCATCCTATGAGCATAAGGACCAAGACATCTTTTGGGATAGGCAAATTGAACTTAGTTACATCTCGCAGTGAAGTTACATTATAGTAGTGGGAAAGTGACTGAAGCCAAGATGCCAGGTCAGGACAAATAACTTTGCAGGTTCTTCTTTGTATTTTGTCAAGAATCTTTAAATACACAGAAGTACCAGACCAGATGTGACAGCAATATTCACATGCAACAAATAAGATCAAGTTTCTTTTTTTAATATGGGAATTCATTTTCTGTACACTCAACTTGTATCTTTCATTGGTGTTACTTTTTCTGCAATAATTCTTCAATGTGTCTCACCAATAATGTTTCATTCTCTTTAAAATATTGTCAGTATTATTTTTTATGACTTCAACCCAAAATTCCTCTGCAGGTCCTACCAATCTGGGAAGGCACTACAAATGTCCTTTCTTTGGACATTTTGCGTTGTATAAAGACTTCCAATGGCACCATTCTACAATCATTACAAGAAAATGTTTGGTCACTTGTCTCGGAAGCTTCTCGGCATGGCCAGTTAACTGAGGCTCGTGAAAAAATCTTGAATGCCATTGAACAGACCTTGAATGCTGCAGTCAGCAACCCTCATTTCCTTGTGCCAGGAGCAAGAGACTTTGCCTTCAGCATTGCAAGAATCTACATATGTAAGTTGGTCTTATGTTATTTTCTCTGTTATAGAATGGAGACACTGATGTCGGAGTGAATGGACGTATTTTTTCATTGCTCAAAGAAAGTGATGTCATATTTTAAAAGGGAAGTCTTTATTTTAATTATGCATTTATTCTCATATTTTTTTGTTTATTATAATTTTGTTTTATTATTATTCATTTACAGTATTTAGTTATTTACATTTTTTTTTTTTAAGATAAGTTGATTGTTTTTTTAAAATAAGGGATTTAGCAAGTTTACTTTATTCCTCACTAGGAATTATTATATTAGGAACATTTAATACATAATATGTGACAATATATTTATCAGTCCTGCAACCTGACCTTCCCTGCTTAGTAATGAGTTAATCCATTATAGCAACATGGGCACTACTCACCACATTTTTTTTTTTTAATAGAATTTTTGCTTTTTTTACTATTAAAAAAACATTGAAAATTTAATATGAAAACAAAGTTGCATACAATTTTTGGTAATTACTTAAATATTGCTATCTTTTTTTGACAGCACATGTAAATTATTTATTAAAGTAATACCTGTAAAAATAACAGGATTATTTAGGTATGGACAACTTGGGAGACAATCATAACAGCGAATGTCATTTGACTGAAAACTGGCTTCACTGAAAACATTAAATTGAATTTTTACTTTGTTGAAAAATCAAATTAGAAAATTAAATGGAAATAACTTTTATACCTGAATATTGCTTTTTTAAAATTATTTTTAAAATTACATCCGTTAATTTAATTGTTGTTTATCTACGATAAAGAATAACTTTTTCTGCAAGAATTTATCAGTAAAATCTTCATTCACATAATAATGTTGCTTAATATTTTGGTTTTATTCTAGAAATATTAAAAATGAGTAAAAAAAATAATAAACCCATTTAAATATTTGTCCTATCCAAAATACATGCAGAAATAAATTTAAAAAATGTTTTCTGTATTAATTCATATTATTCTTTTTTTCTCATTCAAGCAAGATGATAATGCCACTAAGACACAAGGGGTTATTGGGGATGAAAGAAAATGAGATATCTTTAGAAGGAACCAAAAACCCAATCCTAAACAAGAAAAAAGGAATAAACCTCTACTCTCATTCAAAACACTGGGGAGGAGTGTGAACTGGGCAATATAAGCAAACCTATCTACTTCTATTACTTATTTAATATTATCTATTTTTTTTCTTGGGCAAAAAAAATCAATTTCCTGGTTTTAACTGATTTCAACATTAAATCTTAAACAGACCAATGAATGGTTGCAAATTAAAAAAAAACAAAACAAAGTTATCTCCCTTGAATTTTCTGCATTTTGATTTTTTGGTGAAGTAAATCATTTGACAATGTGAAGATCCAATTTAAAACTTTCAGTTTTTGGTGAAATGAAATTTGCTGTTATGAACTGGACTCTGTAGAATTAGATTTCTACATTCTCAGTTTTAAACCTGTTAAAAGAGGATCACAGCTAAGTATTCTCAGTTTGTGATGAACCCATTAAAATCAGCTCCAGAGTTTAGTACAAAACAATGCTTTCTGATTGGTCCATAAATAATAATGTCATGTTTCTGCCTACATCTGTACGGTTGACCTTGAGTTGACCCATTCAGAGTTCAAACATTCTCTCAAGCCTCCCATATGATCAAGAGAATTCATAAGTATTAAACTTTGACTGACTTAGTCAGTGAGTCTTTAAAATAACCAACTCGTCATATGAATCCACAAAACCCAACTTCCTCACTAAAAGTTGTTTTTTATTAACATCAACCCACCTTGTGGAATTCTATTTCTTTTCAACATCAACTCATCTAGTAACCAATTCAACCAAGATGAGATTCAGAAACCAACTCACTCAATATCTTAACAACATAAAGGAAATCATAACTATATCAGTCAAAGTGAGACAACTCTACAGTAAGTCAAGCAATCTATTTCATTCAATTTAACCATCAACATAAACTGTTTAATTCCTTACCAGATCTGTAGCATAACACTTTTTATATTACCTTTAGTCACACAACCAAGAACACTAGTGTTTGAAACAACTTTATTATATATCATGTGTACTTGTTGTTATATAAAAATATTTTTTGTTAAAACAAATATCTGCCTATTTGATTATTTCTCTTGTTGTCATTGTTGCATTTGATTTAGTAAAAATAGTAGAGGGTCAGTTTAATTTGTATTTTGTCACCGATACAGAATGGTTAACCCACTACAACTCTGATAAATTATCCAACTCTTATCAAAATGCACAGTTAATATACTTTGATCCTAGCAGAACTGTTTATCCTTATATAAATAAGTCATTTTTTATGAGTAATTTGCTAATTTATTAAATAATGATAATTTTTCACCTTAGAACTCCAGATAACACTTGTGAAGTTAATTCCAAGAAAATCTTTTTCAAGATAATGATTAATCTATTTTTATATTAATTTCAGAAAATTTCATTGTTTTGTTTCTGGGTTGATTATTATCCATTTTTCTTATTTACTAGTTAGATAATTATTGCCTGATATTATGTTGTCTGTTTTGTTTTTTTCTAATCACTTTTTTCTTGCAACTGATATTATGATTTGTGAATCAACTTTTTAGACACTTCAACAATTCTTTGTAATAAAATCCTTTATTCTAATGATATTGGAGCAAATATTCTCTTCTGTGGCTTACAGCCACATCATGTTGAAACACCAGTCCCCATACGATCACCAAAGTCAAGCAACATTAAGCCTGGTCAGTACCTAAATAGGAGACCACTTGAGAATAGCAGGTGCTGTAAGCTTGAATGTGCAAGTGGTGTAATGGATAATGACTTGAAATTGTTAATTGGAAACAATTCTTGTTGGGTTTGTTATATTCACTTATGTGCCAATACTCTTGGGAAAGGTACAAATCCACCTCTTCTTTCCCTACATATGGGTTAATTAGTAGGACTTGTATCACTAAACAATTTTCTTCAAAAAAGTAAAAGAAAAAAAAGCTTCTTACAAGCTAAATATATTTTCTAATATTGTCTAATAACCTGGAAAGAGGTTAAAATACCATAGAAAACAAATCAAAAAAATCTCTTTGGCAATCAATTTACACTTGTCATGAACTTGTTGCCAAAGTAGCTGGTTTACAGGACACACCAATCTATGATTAAATTTCATGTTATGAAATAAAATATTGCTTAAGAACATTAATTATTTGATTGATTAATTAAACATCTCTTATCCAAATATAATAGGAAATACTTTCAGCTCAATCTCATTGATATCACTCAACTAAATTGCAAAATGATAGCTGTAATATTTACAATAACCAGAAACCAGCTTTGATAACCTTTTAATGTGTAATTATGTCAAGTTGAGAAATATGTACTTCTTTTTGTTTACAGGTGCCTTATTAATAAACCATGCCAGTAGCTCAGAAGCCACAGAGTCAGACATTATGACTGCGTTTTAGTGAGTGTAATTGTTTTTTATTTTTTAATTATTATTTATGGGTCATATTATGAAGTGGTGCTTGGATGCTCTATGTAATGATGTTTAAGCTTGAAGACATGTTTAACCATAGGTTCATGATTTGATGAAAAGAGTTGAAAAAATTTTGACATACAAAATGTAATTTAAGCCTAAAATAGGTAATGCATTGTTCACTTTTTGTAGTAAAAGTTTAGTCTTAATATCTACTTTCATTTTACAATTAACGACCTGTGTACAATGTTGGATATATGTCTGGTATCTTCTGCATTGATTGTGGATGTTATTTCCGACAATGTTTCTTGTCTGTTACCACAGACAATTCCAGCCAAATGCTTCTGGTCATGGTCATTAAGAACATATGCTAAGCTATTGCATCATCTATAGTAGGTGGTAATGCCTTTCCTCATGTGTTCCCTGTACAAATGTGACATTGAAGGTCAAGGCAAATTAAATGTTTCCACCATTTCAGATATAAAATGTCCTATTTAGCTGGTACTCTACCATAACCTGTTTAAAAGCTGTGAATTCACATCACTTCCTACAAGAAGCCTAACTAGTGTTCGCATTAATCCACCAGATGTCTGAACATTTCCATGACATCTAGGTAAAATGGTACCACCTACCATTACCTTTATATACTGCTATAACTTTTTAGGCACTTGAGTGGAGATAAGTAGCAATAATTGTATTAATACAAAAGTCTCTTGAGAAAAAACCAGCCATTGAGGAAAAGTAACCTACTTATGACAAGAGAACCTTTCTTTTTTAAATATTCTCTTTGATACTCCCCACACTTATTCCAGCACCTCTTCCCATTTGCAAAGTTCTCTTTCAGGATTGCCATCAGCAGTCTTGGTATGTTCTGAATCTGGAATCTCTCAACAGCCACAGGCAGTTAAATTTGGACCTGTGTGATGCAATCTTTTGCTTCCCAGAAGAAAATCAAAATTCCTTGTACAAGATGTGAGATATTAGCCATTGATGCATGTCTGTAGAATCCCCTAATTCTTGCACTGCCAATCTCCAAATTTCTTTTGAGTGTAATCCATGCATTTTCAACATTTTCATGTCTTCTGCTTGCTAATGGCCTGTGGATCACCAGCCAATTTTGAAGCATCAGTAAAATAAAAAAGTCTTACTTGGGCTTCACTTATTGAATTTACTTTGAAAGCCTTTTTACTCATAAAAATAATTTATGGACAAATGTCCAAATTTCAAGCAAAGAATGTGATAGTCATACAATCCATAGTTTTACTCAAAGATACCTCACTGCTGAGTTAGTAACCCTTGAATCTGTTTGCACATGCAAAATAAGTTCCCCCACTGATTGGTTATCAAGTTATATCAAGGCTGTACAACTGGTTTTCAGGATATTCAAAATGGCTCAATACTTTCCAAACAGACTTTGTACATAAAAGTTAACTGTGATAGTGAAATTATTCTATTAACTTTCTTTTCTTTTGACTGCAGTTGGTCTCGGGTGAATCTGACCCCCTTTGTTGATGGAATCAACCGATGTACCTATGACCAGAAATATTGTAAGGCTGAATATGATATTGTCTTCAACAATCTCACACCTAAAACCATGGAGATGATGGCCAAAGTTGAAAAGAAAAAAAATTGCAAGTAAATACTAAAACAACAAAAAAAAATTTATGTTGATTTAAGATTCAGAAAACTACTAGCTTCATCTTTGCTTATGTTTCATCAAAATCAGTTATAAATCTTGGATTTAGTTTGAATCAATTTAGAGAAGATACTTCATTTACCTATTAACAATATTAAATTTGTGTCACCTGGATGAAGTATCCATGAACTCTTAACCTCTTCAAGTCAAGGGCCTATCATTACCTATCCACCATAGCCTCATAATCTTCACTTTCTACTCTTACATTCATATCACACACCTTATTCAATAACCCTCTACCTTGAGTGACTCTTGAGCCTTGTATTGGGTGAACATAATAGTTCCTCATTATCTCTGACCCCTGCAAATTCTTATGTCATTACTATTTAACTATATACATACTTAACTCAGTGATACAACAAAAATTAAAGAAGGGTATATAACATGTAATTTCTTTAGTCTGAACAACAGATGCTACATAACATGGCATGAATCTATGAGATGCTGCACCATCATATGAACATATGTATCCAGACACATTCCAGGGCTACACAGAATAGTTTTGTCTACAGGGAATTTAGTGAGGTTTGACACATATCCCAATACATGATCAGTGTGTGTGCCAGAATTAAACTCCAGAAAGGAAGTTGACAAAGTGTTCCTGTATTTAGTTTCAGGTCATTCTCTTAGCTTGGAACAAATCATCATCATCCTTATCACCAAGAAACATTGATTTGCAATACAATCTGTGGATGTCACATCTGATAATTTAGTCTCCAGTTTCACTAGTGATCCTTGCAAATTACAACATATTAAAGATCCACCCCCAATTTGTACAACAGCTTGCTAGCAGGCTGGATTCATGGTTTTATGTTGTCTCTGTCACATATAAACTCAACCCTCTGCCTAAATACTTGGAAAGGTGATTCATCTGGCCAGGCAACATGGTGCTAGTTTTCCATGGTCCAATTCCAATGTTCTCTATCTCAAATGAGTGGCAATAACCAATGCTGTAGTTTTAGTAATGTTATCCTTGTTGGCCAAAGACTATGAAACCCATGGAATGCAATTAACAGTTTACAATTTGACTGATGGGTTAAACAGCACCAATGTTAAAATGGAATATGATTTGATGCAACGTTACATGTTGTAATGGCTACTATCCTTGCCAGTAGTCATGTTCTTATTCTTGCTTGGGCTGTGAATGCAGAGTTTTCATATACCACTTACGTTTGTCTGGAATTTATATTTTCCCCAGTATAACTGACTACTGTTGCTGCCATCTTGGAAATAATTGTTGGAGCTAGAAAGATGGAGCACTAAGTGGGTAATGTTAAATCTTATTCACATCTCATGGCTGCCACAGCTACACTACCTCTTTACATTACACAAACAAGTGGTGGAGAGTGAAATTAAATTTTGACAAATTACTATATGCTGATTTAAGAAAAAAAAAAAAAAAAAAAAACAATTAAAAATTTAAATAACAATGCAATTGACAAAAAATATTTTGCAAGTAAAACAATGTCGATATCTAATACTAAATTCCACTTGTTTATTTTGTTACTATTTTGTGCTGTATACTAAAAAAAGTAATTTCGGATATTCATATTCAGTGGTGTAGAATATATATATATATATATATATATATATATATATATATATATATATATAATGTATAATGAAAAAAATATATACGGAAAAAAACAAAAATCCTTATATACAATTATGCTGTTTTAATGTTAATATGTCAACGTCGGACGTTGTATATATATATATATATATATATATATATATACACACACACACTAATGATGTAAAAATTGTTACTCTTGTGGTGGTATATCAAATAAGATTGGGGAGTGTCTTCCAATTTTCAAAAAAATAAGAACTGAGTGGGATTTTTTTTTTTTTTTAACCCGCCAAAGAAAGAAAAATTAAAAAATGGGTAGTGGTCATGAAATTTTGATGAGGGAGGTGGGGGAAGGGTCTCTTAATTTTTTTTTTTTTTTTAAATTTTAATAAGTACACCTCACCTCCCCTATTTAAGAAGCAAGAATACAGAATGCCTAGAAATGGCTGCCTACCAATTTATATGATGTGATATTCAAGATAATTGAACATTAAAATAGGTTTCCTGCTAAAAATTTTTGCTTGTATTTTATACATAGAAATTTTCGTGATGAGAAATGCCTTTCTATTCAGACCAGCATACTCATATTGGTTGTTATACTCACATAACCAAACTCTTTATTGAAACCACGGGAGTAGATTCTCGTTCTACTTTCCATGTTTAAAAGAAATTTCATATCGGTTAATAATCCCTAGTCTGTTCATTTTTTTTTTTTTATATACCACTTTTCTGTTTCTTTTACTGAATTAGAATATGTAACTTTTCCAGCACTACCCATAAATATTTAAACCAATGCTTTAATTCACTCTGCCACATGTCTCTTTGGACAATCCGGTGGTATAATTACAGATGTTCACTTTAAGACTTCAAAATTATGCCAACAGATTGTCCAAAGGCACTTGAAAAGGCTGGAGAATACAAAGGTCTAAATGCTGTGAGTAATAACAAAGATGAGAATACTAGACTGTATAGAAAAGTATATAAAATATTAAATTTTCTTGTAAAGGAACTGGGAAATTAAACTAGATTAAACAGAAGTTTCCAGTCCTAAATGCTTAATCAAAATTTAACATTTGTTCTAAATTTATAATTAAAATATTGAAACATTTTACTGACCTTGATGTCAATTGGTTAACTTTAATATTGCCATGACTTTGACAATATGAGTAAACTAGTTTATAATATTTAAAAAAAAAAAAAAACAAAAAAAAAACGTACCTGCTGATCATATAAATCATTACTGAATGCTAAGTTTAGTTTGAACAAAAGTATGATCAAACAGTGTCATTTTGGCCTTAACCCTTTGAGCCATGTGTTCTTGAACAATTTTAATCCTCCTGCCTGAGCTTCCGAGTCAAAATTCACAAACAATTGATATGTAATGCTTCACGGTAGATATAAAAATAGTTACAAGTGTTTACCCACCATGGCTAAGAGGTGGTCAGGGCTCAAAGGGTTAAATATAAAATCTAAATATAGACAGTTTAGCAATTTTATTTACTGCACAAAGTTAAATAAGCAAACATTGAAAGAATGATAATTTTTCAGCCTTCATAAGTATCACATGATTGATTAGACAGCAACAAGTGTTGTTCAAAATTGAAAAGTCAAATTATATGAAGTATAACCACATTGTAACAAATCATTGAAAACTTCTAATATAGAGCAATTGCATATACATGATAAAACATAACAGTGACAATAAACAAGAAAGGTCATGTATTTTCCAAGCATTTTATTGACTTTGCACTAAATTTCAGAATAAGAGACAGTGGCACCATATTTGACAAGATTTCGTTGCACCTACCACAGATGAGAAATGAGGCAAGAGGGCAGTGCAACAAGCGGAACGCATCGCAAAAGCAGTTCTGCTGCTGACAAAGCCACAAAAAAGATATCAATAATCAGTAGAATTTTCTGCTTGTGTAGTTATATACATGCTGCAGTTGCAAGTGGAAAATAATGAACAAAAAAAAAAAAAAAAAGTATATATATTTAAAAAAAAAAAAAAAAAAAAAAAAAATTAAAAAAAAAAAGAAGGTCAAAGCAAGAGAGGATGCACAACAAGATGGAGCAAGCAACCACAAAATAGAGATAGGAAACTGAGTAGAGAAAGATGATATCTAATGTAGTGATTTAGTTTATGAATACTTGGCCAGTGTCAAGACAGTGAAACCTAGGGCTACCAGTGGCAGGGAGCTGGGAAAGAAAACAGGAGGCAGTTATAGAAAAAAGAAGAGTGAGAGACAAATTTAAGAGAACATTTTGATTTAATTAAATTCTTGCAAAATGGTAGTATGACTTTGAAACTTGTTGAAATCTCTTTTTAAGAGCATATAAAGAGAACAATACCTGTAAATTTGTTACAGGTTTTTCAAATCAAATTTGAAGGTTAATTGAAGAGTAATTTTCTTATGATTTAAAAGAAATTAATATAATGTCAAAAGATTAAGAAGTCTAATGCTAAGGAAAAATAATTAAATCTGTAAGTGAAAAATAGAAAGTGATATATCATGAGTATGTATTTGTTTGATGGGGAGAGTATATGGTTTCCTAAAAAATAAATTTGTCTAGGATTAAAGATCAAAATTTTTTAATTGAAGATAAAAATGATTGAAAAAGTTTGAAAATATTTTCAAGATTTTTTTTTTTTTTTGGTTAAACTTTTCATTAAATATTTTACTTTTTGGGGGGGAGAAGAACCACTGTAAGCATTTAACAATTTTTTATCTTCACATATCATTAATGAAAACAGAGCTATGTTTTGAATGTTTACTTCTTATTTAATTGAATCATATATATTATATATATTTACTTTGAATTAAGCATTAAAACCCACTCTCCAACCCCCAAAAAATCAACTGCATATCAATATCCAACAAGGAAAAACAATTGTGTAAAGTTAAAATATTTGGATGTTTGATTTAAATGTTTAGTTTGGTTCAGTAATTTGAACATGTTTGATAAATCCTGTAATAGGTGTGTGTGTGGAGGGGGACTTAAGATTTTCAATATTTAACAGCTTATTTTTAAGCAATGAAACATTTTGAAAATATTTCATAACCAATATGTATTTGTTTATCCAATGTATAAGAGGAAAAAAAATAGCACCCTAAACTTTTCATCTGATGTCTATTCTGTTGAGCTTAAAGATTCAATCACGGGTTTAAATCTTTTTGGAGTATTCATTTAACCTTTGCTAAAACTGTTGTTGTGGAATAATTATACTTATATATTTTTGCTGCTTATCTGAGAAACAAGTGTTATTTTCACAAAGATATTTTTATGTACAGATCTTAGGTTTTTGTTAAATTTAAACAGCAAAACAAGAGAAAAAAAAAGGCATTTTAAGATTCTACAGTTTCTGATT